GGCGGGTGTTGCCCCGCTTGCCCCCCCCCCCCCCCCCCCCAGGTGTGGGATGAAGCCAACAGGAGAGCCCTGGAGCTGGCACAGACCGAGGGCTGGGTCAGCATCCACCCCTTCGACCACCCCTTGGTGTGGTGAGTGCTGCCAGGGCTCAGCTCCTGCCCCCGGTCCCCATCCCCGGAGTCAGGGCTGGCTCGGGGTGCCCCCGGGCTGCATCCTCCCGCCCCCCCTCGCCCTGCAGGCAGGGTCACGCCAGCCTGGTCCAGGAGCTGAAGGACTCGCTGGAGACCAAACCAGATGCCATCCTGCTGGCAGTGGGCGGCGGGGGGCTGCTGGCAGGCGTCGGGGCTGGCCTGTGCCAGGGGGGCTGGCAGGACGTCCCCATCGTCGCCGCCGAGACCCGGGGGGCTCACAGCTTCCATGCGGCGCTGGCGGCCGGCCGGCTCATCTCCCTGCCCGACATCACCAGGTGAGCGGGGCTTCGCGGGAGCGGCCACGCGTGCAAAGAGTTGCCGGGTCTCAGCCCAGCTCACTGAAGGGTCCTGGGACCACCCTGTGACCACCTTCCTTCCCTCCTGTCCCAGTGTGGCCAAGTGCCTGGGAGCCAAGATGGTGGCGGCGCGGGCACTGGAGTGCGCCCAAGAGTGCCAGGTCATCTCCCAGGTGGTGGAGGACGCGGAGGCTGTGCGAGCCGTGGAGCAGTTCCTGGGTGAGCAGGGTCCAGCCAGGCGTGGCGGGGGTGACAGGGACACTGCCGGGTCTTGGGACTGGCCTGAGACGTGCTGGAGTCAGGGGGCTGATGGGGACGGGGTGGGTGGGTGGCTCAGGGTGTCCCCCTGCTCTTGTCCCCGCAGATGACGAGAGGATGCTGGTGCAGCCGGCGTGTGGGGCCGCCCTGGCCCTGCTCTACACGAGGCGACTGCAGCGGCTGCAGCACGAGGGGTGGCTGCGGAGCGGGGCCGCCCTGGCCCTGCTCTACACGAGGAGCGGCTAGCGGCTGCAGCACGAGGGGTGGCTGCGGACCCCGCTGGCGCGGGGTGGGGGTGGCTGCGGACCCCGCTGGCCTCCGTGGGGGGGGGGGGGGGGGGGAGGGTGGCTGCGGACCCGGCTGGCCTCCGTGGTGGTGGTGGTGTGCGGGGGCAGCAGCATCCAGGTGGCCCAGCTGCAGGCTCTGAAGAGCCAGCTGGGGCTGGAGTGACACCCACCCTGAGGAGGGGGACGCGACGGAACCCTGCTGGCACCCTCTGCTTGCTTTCCTTCCAAAATAACCAAAATAAAGCCCTGCTGCCTGGCGGACATGGTGCCAGACTCCTCTCACAGCCTCTGCCCCAGCACACAGCATCCATGTAGGGATGGGGAAACTGAGGCACGCAGGGCGGACAAGATGGAGCTGGGCCCCTGCCTGCACCTCCCCTGCCTCTCCGATGGCAAGGCTGGGGTGCACATGTCCCACTCTGCCCCTTGGACGTGCTGGGCATCCTCCTCCACGTCCCCCAACCGTCGGTCCCCCCTCCCCTCCCTCCCCTGCTCCTCCCCAGGCTGTTTGGACTGCAGCTCCCCGCCTCAATTAGCAAGCGCTCCCTCTCTGACTAATTACTTTGCTACTGTCTTTATGCATTATTATTCTAATTATTATTAATTATTACAATCTTCTCCCATTCCTGCCGCGCTGTCTGCGGTCAGAAGAGAACAACACACGCAGACCCTCTTGTTACAGTGATTTATTGGTGGAGCTCCCCGGCTGTGTTTAACACCCACGGGCTCCGAGGTGCACCGACACACACGTGTGTGTGTGTGTACACCCCAGCCCGGAGCCTCCCCTGCTCCTCCCCAGGCTGTTTGGACTGCAGCTCCCCGCCTCAATTAGCAAGCGCTCCCTCTCTGACTAATTACTTTGCTACTGTCTTTATGCATTATTATTCTAATTATTATTAATTATTACAATCTTCTCCCATTCCTGCCGCGCTGTCTGCGGTCAGAAGAGAACAACACACGCAGACCCTCTTGTTACAGTGATTTATTGGTGGAGCTCCCCGGCTGTGTTTAACACCCACGGGCTCCGAGACCGACACACACGTGTGTGTGTGTGTGTGTACACCCCAGCCCGGAGCCCCCGTGATCCCCCTTTTTCCCCCATCCCACTCTTTTTCCCATTCCCCCCTTTCCTCCAGACTTTCCTGCTCTCCCCCGTTCCCGCTCTCCAGTACTGCGTTTGCTTTAGCCCTTTGCTATTGCACCTCCCGGGGTTTTTCGTGTCCCCCTCAACCACACTTCTCCCCCCTCCTTCCTCCCATCCCAGGGTGATGTGGGGTCTTGCTCCCACTGGGGCTCCCCAGCCCTGACTGCTCCTCGGTTCCCCGGCTGAGCCCATGCCCCAAGCATCACCTGGTGACGTTGGGCAGGGAGACAAGCCCTTTCCCGCCCCCAAAACCCTTCTCAGCCTCCTCTTCCTCCTCCCCTTCGGAGCAGAGGGGGCTCAGCCCCAGGACCAGCTCAGACCCCGTCTCATAGGCAGCCCCCACGAAGCCCTTTCCCCTGGCCAGGCGCCTGCTCCGGGACCCGGCTGCCAACCCCCCAGAAACACCCTCCCTGCCTTCGGCCCTTTTCCTCTCTCCCCCAGTACATCCCACCGGCCAGGCCAGCCCCTCCAGATGCTTCTTGGAGGCCAAAACCCCATAAATCAAAACTCTGCCGCTCCATCGTGGGCAATATCTTATGTAAAAAGGTGTTTCCAGAGAGCACCAAAGGCTGGAGAATCCTATTACGAGGCACACTATTAATTATAAGGAGTCAGCCCAACCTACTCCAGCAATTTTTTATCCCAGGTCCAAAACCTGATTACTTTCCACCTTCTGCAGACCTTCCCCTTCTGGAAAAAAAAAAAAAAAA